CCCTTTGCCACCTCAAAGTCTCTATACTGCAGATGTTGGTTTCGAACTCATATTCCAAGTCATCAGCTCATAAGCTCTCGACATGACATCGACTTCAAAGGACGGGAAGTCCTCCACCGCCTCACCACGGTCACCATGAAACCAGGCCTCGGAGAATTTCATGATGCCGCTCACCAGCCACTTCCTGGACCAGGCGCAAGCCTCGCCTCGCCTCGCTCGCCTCGGGAGTCAGGTCCCATGGACCGGTGGGAGGAAGTCGACCCGGGACGGCCCGGGTGGTTTGACAATAAAGGGTACGTCTTTTCGTCCCTGGAAGTAGCTGTTTTAGGATGTTTTATGGGTCGTGTCACTTTTTCTAGGATACTTTGAAGGGATCCAGTTAGCATCAACAAAAGCAATCGATCAGGAAGGAACATGGCACCAGTGACACGAGAGCCGCATGGAATCCAGTGGTGCTTGAAAGATCAAGAACCAAAGCTGCCGTCATGAGCGAACACCATGCCGTTGTAGATTCGCCCTGTTTGCATAGTATCGTTCGCATTGTTCTCTCTGTACATAGATGTGTACTGATCGAAGCACCTGGGATTTTTGTTGGACCATCTCACCCAGGTCCGCCACGCCCTACACACTGCCGGCTCAAGCCTTGGCTAGGCCACACACACTGGCAAGCTGGAGCCGTTCCCTTCTGTGGGTCGATACAAGGGAGACATCCATCCGTGACTTGGTCGAGACAGCTCCATGGGTGGTGCCCCAAGCCGGCCCAAGCCACTATATACTTACTGCGTGGCCCAGGACCCCGCGAATCACAAGATCTTCAGCTTTCCAGCGTACAGTCGACTGGACAGTTGTTTCTGGCGAATCTGACAGTTGCAAGGCAGTTCAGGCTTAGGAGAAGCTACTAGTAACAAAAGGCATTGCTACTAGGAGCAAGGGCATCGCTACTAGTAGCTCCTGGCATTATTAGTTACTAGTAACAAGAAGCTACTAGCTAGCTAGGGGTAGGTTTTGGGGCGTGGAGAATGATGTGATCTGGCACACTGGAGAGGGTTTGGCACTAGGCCACTCTTAATTCGCCTTCGTACCTATATATTGACAAGAAAGGAATCCTTGTGGGCGGCGTGGGGGAGAAGTTTGCTTAATTGTTCAGTTCTCTTTTGCGGTTTCAGGCCATTCCTTACACACCTATCACCAAAACCCTTCTGGGACCCCGTACTGGTGGTCCAAACAAAGCCCTCGCGACAACCTCGAGAGACAGCTGGGACCGGACGGGCCGGTCGAGCCACCGAGGCTCGAAGAGATTCAGCAGGACATGTGACGACCGATGTCTCACCCCCATTTCGCCTGGGATGAACATCACCCAAAGGAGCTCTCGAGGTAAATTTAGATAAATAATGATAATATATACATGGTGTGCTTGATTCCACGATTGTCAGAGCCATGTGTTCAAGAGCGAATCTCTTGAGGCCCCTCATGGTGTCATGAACAACTCAACCCTCAACCGTAATATACGTAACGTAATGAGCTGCAAACAGCATTTTGACATGACTTGAGTCAAACGGCGGTGTTCATGCCCTGTCCTGAAACGGCGCATGGCCGTGCCTGGCCATGCCTGGCCCGAGCGAGTTGTGCTCCAAAATGTGGGCACACGACCGATGGACGCGCTGTGTTTCGCCGAAGTTGCGAAGGCAGTCGTTCAGAGCACGGATAGAACATGCAGACCAGACTAGTGACTAGCTCGTAGATCAAGATAAACTAAATTTGTTGTAGGCAAGATAAGATCCAAGAAGGCGGGTGTTGATCCCACTTTGGACTCTGGAATAAGGTGTTCATGCAGGTTTCACTTGGTTGTTCTTGGCCTCCCCTTTCTATGATTTGTTAATGTTTATTCAATATTCTTGTGGCGGATAAGCAATAATATAGATCATTGTCACTCCAAGATACAATAAGGGAACCACACCACCACCATATTGGCTTTCTAAGACAGCTTTAAGTCGATATATTGGGTGCCATGTTCGCTTGGCGACAAAGTAACACTCTTTCACCAAGTGCCCTGTGGGTATGAGCATTTCAAGTGACTTTGATTCCCCTACATATGTATATATATATATGGAATTGGGAAATACAATTGCACTCAATCAATGCATGTCAGTAGGCTCCTCAGACATGGGGGTAGCTACAAGATGCTCAAGTAAAACTATGGCATTATGCCATGTACCGGCCTGGAATCTATTTGGGATAGGGGCATAAGATAGCACAACAGACATAAAGGCCAGAGCATCAAGGAATCGGGAAAGTACAAACACAGACTTCCTACCTCAATCTGAACTTTTTTACATCATTGAAAGGCCACAGACTGAGGAGCGGGGGAGGAAGGGAATGGAAAGGAGTTATATATACAAAGGCAAGGCTATCAAATCGAAGAGATGAACAGTACAAAAGAGGAAGCAAAGGAGAGGAAAGAAGATCCCACCGGGGGAAGAGCAGGACAGGAAGGAAAAGAACATGGAAAATTGACACAGCACAGCAAAAATGATGGCTCATCCGGGCAATGCTTAAGATAACACTGGCTACTGTTCGGCACCTAGCAGAAATATGCAATCTTGCAGTGAACCCCTAGCCGCCTACCTCAATCTAGATAGTTTAGAGTGGAAGATAGAGAGAGAGAGAGAAACAGAAACAAACACAATACAAGAATTAGGATTTCTAATCTAATCGTTTGCTCGCTAGAGACTTCTGGAACTAAGTTTCTTGGTCTATATGCCAGCTTAACCACCCACTTCCAGATTGATATACAAAGGAAAGGGAGACCGTCAAACACCCCCAGCAATACCAGACGTTGGGGCCATGGCTTGATACTGCGAAAATCGATCTCCCCATTCACAACTCAAGCATCAGGTGACATCTAACACATTCTAAGCCTATACAAGACAAAATCAACCCCGCTGGACCGCTGGACCGTCCAATGGATGTCTAATGGAAGCCTCTAGACTACTGGAGGATCTCCATTGGACACTCATTGGATGGTCCTACTACAGAACCTGTTTTCCAGTTCCTTGCTTCCTTCCTTCATTCGCACTCCCGCACACCATAGAGAGCGCCAGGTCTGTTTGGGCACGCACAGACCTGCACATCATGGAGAGCGCCGACGCAAAATTTCAGAAGATATGCCAGATAGAAAATGCCACAAGATATGCGGGTAGAAAGTGAGACTAAATGCCAGAACGGATGTCAGAAGATATGCCAGATAGAATGCCAGAACATTTGCCAAATAGAATGCCAGTCAGAAGATATACCAGATTTTGCCAGATAGAATTTCAGAAGATATGCCAGAAAGGATGTTAAAAGATGTGCCAGTTAAAATTTAAAATGCCACACTGTATGCCGGATAGAATTACCAGAAGATATGCCAGATAGATTCCCACAAAGGATGTCAAAAGATATCCAGAAAGGGCGCCAGAAGATATGCCAGACAGAATGCAAGAAAAGATGGCAAGGACATCAGAACACATACCAGGCTTGGTCAATACATGTGCCATGCCTTCTTCCAAATCGCCCTCAAAGTAAACAGTCTTTTCTGAACCACGTCCACTTGGTTGACAGATGGGAACCAGATTCAGGTGTGTTGTTCGGATCCACATGGTGGCTGCTTTGTTCAGAGAACCTCATGCCTTCACTGGTCGCATGGTCGCCACCTCGACCCACGCTCGATCCACGCCGTGTGCTTCTGCGCGGCGCAAGAAAAGGCGTGAGGTCGTGGGCGGTGGGCCTTCGTCGACGTTGATTTGTCATCCTTGAATAGACTCAATCAATAGTCGACAATAGGAGGAAGTTAATAGACACAATCTATAGACTAATAGACACAATCCTTGATTGTGGAAGTTGTCAATAGGAGGCTGGAGCAGAAGTTCGAGAAGATCCAGAAGTGAGCGAACGGATCAAGAAACATGGTGGTAGATCTCAGTGAAAGGGAATCACCGCCTAAACACAATGATTCTTGCTTTCAACCATCAGGGTCGCCTCTGAAATTCCAACTTCGACTGTTACCTGAGCACTGTGTCGGCTTGGGAAAAATCATGGAAGATCGAAGGGAATCTGCAAAATATAGGGCACAACATATGTGACATATGTGTTTTTATACCCCTAGGGCTCCAACTAGCTCCTGAGAAGGTGGTTGGGGTGGGTTTGGGGGGTCTAACCAACTTCTGAGGATATGGTTGGAGCCCTAGGGATAATACAATAGAATCATGAAAGTCATCGTTGGCCATGGGAATGTAGAGGAAAACTATCCTCCAGCGGTCTTTGCACTTGTGGGGGTGTGTCTCAGGAACCATATTGGCCAAAATCCATTGTTCCGGGATTTCTCATGTTCAACAACCAAGATTGCAGATGATCAATTAATTGAGACCCTTCCTTGTTTCAAAGTAATCTTTGATTGAAGGGCGACCCATGTTGTTCCTCCAAGGCATTTACATGTTGAAACGATATCTAATATAGCGGCAAACCACTATCTATAGGCCGTATTGTAACATTGCGTGGTTCCAGTTCGACCAAAAAGACATAAAGAAACAGGTTCGTCCTGGTTCCCAATGACAGGATCTTTGGGATCCGAAACCGATCCTTTGAGATCCTTAGTGCTTTGCCATGCCATGGCGCGTTTATAGGATGTTTGCGCCACATTGAGTTGAAGATGGCACTGACGACCCAGAACACTGGTGGTTGGGTATTCCAGCTTGGTCAAGCCTCCAGTTGCAGAGGAATCATTTGGACATTTACAAGTGATGCGGTGATGCGGCCTCATGAGTTCATACGGTGGATGGGTGGTGTTTTTGGCTTCTACCCAGACGCGAAGTTTGCACCCTGCATTCAGTATGGGCCGGACCTCTCCTCTCGGGTCAGGGGTCCGGACCCTCAAACCCCTTAGATTTTGAGTGCCCAAGGGATGTTTGGAGCGTTTGGGTAAAGAGTTTGTGCATTCAAGCAGACCCATCATCTTCGACCGCAGCTCCATCGTCAGCGCGGCGGGGGAAGGTGCTAAGGCTAAGGTGTGACCGGTCACGTCAGCAATGGCATCTTTGATCAGGGCAGAGACTTGGTTGCAGCTTTGTCCGAGTGAAGGTAGTTCTGAATCCGAAGGTGATTGTTGTGGCCACCTGTGTTAAGTATTCAGCATGACGTTCATCAGTCACATGGTTCCTTTGTTATTATGGTTTCAGTGCTTTGTGGCATTCTCCTTTGCTTCTGAGACAAACACAACGATGTAACTTTGATACAACACATCCACTATAAACGACCAGATACAAGAGAAATAGCATAGAAGTGCCATCATGTCATCGGCCGTGTCTGAATGCCGGACAGAAGGGATGGAAAACTGTGTGTAACCGAAAGGCCCTACAGCTCCTTCAAACCTCAAGGCTTCTAGTAGACTAAGGACCCCATGTCTACAATTTCTTTGTTTTCAAGATCTGCCCAGCCATTGCTGGCCTCAAATTCGTATGTGCCTGTTCACAGTCCGACCCGCGAAAGTACTTTTGGAATAAGGGGCCCCAGTCTTACCTGGTTTTTGATGTCATGTCAGTCATGTCCCATTTTCTAATGTTACACACAGTCTATACATGTAGTGATAAAGAATCGGACACAACACCTGGAATGCGTTTGATCTAGGACCATATCACACCGCCATACCTATAGACCCTCCAAGTACCCTTGGAGCATCGCTACAGGTTGTTTTGCACGATTCGTCCGATGGTTCACCGGTCTCAGGTGGATGCGGACACAGGCGCACGGTGCGAGTTCCGCACGGTGCGAACGGACGGAGGGATGAAACGAGTCGGTGAAGGTGGACAGAATTCAGGATTTTATGAACGTCCTCTTCAATGTAGACTCTTCACCAAATTTTTAGATTAGGAATTTTTCAGAATTCAGGATTTTATGAGTGGATTAATCTAATGTAGACTCTTGATTAATACACTCCTCCTTTTGAATTGAACATCCTCTTCATATGGGGGGTGTATTTATCAAGAGTATATGTCTACATTATAGGTGGACCCTTGAAACGAGTCGGTCAAGCACCTAATTTCAGGACGCTCTATGCAGAAGACCACAATGCAGAAACATAGTCTGTGGCACCCTTTTTTTTGTGTTTTATTTGTGACTTCAACTTCTTTGAGCTCCCAAACCTTCCCGTCTTGGCTAGCTAGCACCACTTGTTTCCGAGTTGAAATCTATGGGCATCAGCATTGGTCGTTGCTGGCGGTTTTACAGTTCGCCTGGTGCCACATCTCGGGCCCACTCCAACTCCCTAAATGGGGAGTACCTGGGTCAAAAGATGGGCCTGGGCTGCACAGCTTATCGTGTTTGCCTTTCACATTGGGTGTGATTCCATCATATGTACAGTATTTATAGGTACACTCCCGACGTGTTTATTGTTATCCCACTTCCCCCTTCCAGATTGATCATTTCAATGTGGAGTGAACATGAAGAAACCCGGTACCACTCAGGTAGGCTCTAACTGTTTTGTCATGATCTTCCTCACCTGTTCTGCCACCTCTCGGGACATACGCTAGGCGCCATGCCACTGCGACGTTTTGGGGTTCCCGTCTCAGACGGTGCGAGGCATCGGTGTGTTTCAGGGCAACATGCTGCACAACATATCAGCACTCAAGAACAAGGATGAATCCTGTTGGAATTGGACATGCGCCGCAACACTAAATCAGCAACCAAATGGCCTACACAAATGCAGACAAAGGCAATGGTAGATGGAAAATATGAAGAACCATCCTGACAATGGGGCATTTGATGTACCCGGCCCGTGCAAAAGGCGTTTTCATGACATAGATGACACAAGAGGTGGAAACGCGCCCCTTACCCACTCGATTGCAAATAAAATCCATCAAAAATCATAGAGCATGTCTACAAGCAGAAGTTTCACCTTAATGATGGAACTCGAAAAGAGAACATCCGGCGGTCCACAACGGTGGTCTTCATCCTTTTTCCACCATGCACGAGAGATGTGGCACCGTCGACCCGGGGCGATTCGGCGTTTCTTGTCGGGGCGAGCCAGTGTTCGTCGCACGCCGAACGCGACCCTCTCCGTTGTTCGACCGATGGGTGTGTTATGGGGGGAGCCAGTCGTAGCTGTTTCTTGGTTCGGGTCATGTCCGGACCAGGAAAACCCCGGTGCCCAGTGAATTGGACTTTGGAGGAAGCATTCGGCATGGTCATTCTTTTGTTTGCCAGAGAGGTTTGATCACCGCACCCTCTGAGGGTCCAGATCAGATGGGTTTGGTTTTTTGAACTGGAACCGGGATCGCATCGTCCGTTTGAGCCTTTGAGTGAGGGGTATAGATTGCATTCCAGAGAACCTTATATATTAAGTAAACTAAACAATTTGTTTCACTTGTCACACCTATTCATAAAGAAGTTCTGAGAATAAACAGGATAAACTAAGGGTTACCTTTGCTTGGGTGGTTCGTGTTGTCCCCAGCAAGAGAAGTCCTAGTGCTTGGGATGGCTCCACATGTTGATACGCAGGGCGCACATGCACAGATCGTATACCCAGTGTTTCGCCGGAACTTTCCGTGTTGACCGGAAACAGCACATTGCTTGTCGGAGATGTATCGATTGAACATAGTGTCTATGTATATGTATGAAAGAACTATTGCGTGATATTGTGCGTAGTTTAATCAATGGCCATACCTCAACCGTGGGAATCCATTAAAGGATGCGCACAAAATACACGGTTTATTGGTTCAAGTCCTCAATGACAGGGGGGGTTGGACCTCATGGGACAAGTTAAACCCATGCGTTTCTCATCGGTTGCCCATGGCTTGCGTGGGTTTTTGTAGGTTTTGGCACGTGTGGAGAAGATATTCCCAACACATCATGATTGCCAGCGCGGGGGTCAGTGCAGATTGAGAGGGTAGGTCGTCATGTGTATTTTCACTCGGCTTTCTTTTTCCTCAGAGCCAGTCTCAGAGCCATATCTCTCTTAATTGGCTGAGGCCAGACATGGCAAGGCGGCCTTGCCCTGGCTTGCGCGAGCAGCTGTGGTCATGGTTCCCACCTCAGTTGTAAGCTCCTGTCATTTTGGTGCCAAGAAACTTGGATGGCCAACCTATCACACCTTGATTCGTTGCTTGACAGTTATATGGTCCCCTCCTTTGCCACATATTTGGCTGGGGTAGTGCTTAATTGGGGCAAACAATGGGTTGCATGTAGTGTCTTAAGTTTGACAAATGAGATGTCGGTGTGAAAAGAACCATAAAACAAAACAATATAGAAGTAGCATGGCATTTCAGCATTCATGTCAATGGCCTTCAAGTGCCACATAGATCACCTGGAGCTTTTTTTGTTCCACAGAAGGCAAGGACGATCGAAGGCAAGTGCAGTATGACTCTCCAGTGTTTTCATAGATTGGGACCTTGCAAACGCCTGCAAAGTATTGCAAGGGATGTATGTGGCATAGACACAACATGTGGCCTTTGTACTCTTGGGTCGGTGGCGTCACTCAATCATCGATTGACGCACCAGGTGACGTCAAGAACACCAGTCCTGCCGCTGCTTGGGACCGCTCCACCGAATCACCGTATAGGTGTGTGCTTATCTCCTCGGCGACGCGCTCCGCTTTGGCGCGAGCTTTCTGTCGGGAGGCGCGGCACGCGGCGAGGCGTTTTGGTGGGACGGTGATTTGGGCGTGGTATTCTAGAGGTCGACCTCGGGCGGAGGAGGCGTTCGGTGTTCTTAAGTGCGTTCGTTCGGGGTGGGAGCTGCGATCAGATCGATTTTGGAGAGGCCAAGGAGCATGGAGGAACGGGCTATACCTCTTGCCTACATGCCTATTGTTAGGTGATTTTAGGTGTCTCCCTGCTCACCTTCTCAGAGAGTGCCAGTGGATCCATCGGGTGTATAGCCATGGTTGTGTAGGTACCTCTTGTTCATGTGCCCTTACGATCCCTTTCTTGTGGCTGGTGTTTGCATCTTTCTCTACCCGATCTGCGGACCCTAAACTCCAGGGCCCCTAAACCCATGGAGGCTCGGGCCCGGATTCTGGACTTGGCCAAGACTCAGGCCAAGTACTGTAGGCTCTTGATTGATAAAGCCCCCCATATATGAAGAGGTTGTTCAATCCAAATGGAGCGGGGGAGCGCGCGTCACTCTGGACAGCCCCGCAAGTTCGTGTATCCAAATGGAGGGGGTGGATGAATCAAGATCCTACATTCCCTAGGGCTCCAACCATATCCTCAGAAGGTGGTTAGACCCCCCAACCCACCCCAACCATCTTCTCAGGAGCTAGTTGGAGCCCTAGGGATTACTCATCTCCCTGCGAGGCCTAGCCCGCTGGCCCCACCGACCGAGCGTGTCCCGGTCTGCGGCAACCCCAGGCGGGCCCGGAGCTGGTGGCAACAGGGAGATAGTCCTCCATTCGAGTGGGAGATAGAATCCCAGACACGACCCATGGGACTGCCATACACTCCATGGGACTGGAACATATATGCCTACATTCACCCCCCACCCAAACCACTCCAATGTCATGGCATATATTATGGCAGTCCCATGGGTCGCGTCTGGGTTATACAGGGGTGGTTTCAGGGGTTGGGGAGGCATGTGATGTTTGGGGATTGAGATAGGTGTGTTCGGGTGGCCGGGCGTTTGGGCTACGCCGGCGCCGCGCTCGTGGCTCGTGGCGATTGGGGCCTACCACCGCGAATTACAGACAACATGAATCAACATGAACCATATACTGTCAGTAGTGCTCCAGTCGTAGCTCCTCAGGTTCTGTATGACTGGACCCAACTGGCTGGCACCCCACCCCAGTCCCACCGAACCTCAGGTTCGGTACGACTGGCACCCTAAAGGAAACAACGCAACCAGCTGTCATTCTTCTCAAGAGTGGTTGGCCGTTCGTCCTTGCATAGTAGTCCCTCAGACGCGCACCATATTTGTCAGGACACATTATATTGAGCTGATAAGACCTCATGTGCGACCAAGATCATGTCATGTCATATCCTTTCGACATCACCATCTAATGAACAGCAGCATGTTCTTTTGTCTTTCTTTCTTGGCAGGTCTCTCAGATGCCAATCCAATGGACCATCCATCCCCCTCTTCTATCGTCGTCGAGGTGTGATGCAGTCAACCTCTGTTGAGCTGGAATTAGCTGTTCCTTGGCGGCGTGTGGAACACCCACACCGTTCGAAGCTGCGATCTCGTTGAGACACGGATCGAATTAGAAGGAAGGCGTTCGGGATCGTGGAAAGGGAGCAGGTCACAAGGGGGTTCTTGAGTTCGGAAGAACATGACGACCTACAGGTACTCCGGTGTACCCTGGGAAGCCCATTTTTTAGAATGGTTGAATATGGTTGATCTGCTTTTGTGGCATAAAATCCTCAAACAATGTTTGGTAAAGGCTATTTGATAAATGGTGGTTCTACTTCTAGGGTGTAGTGCTTGAGGGACCAACGGATTGTGCCAGGGCTACGGGGACTAAGGGTAAGACCGGCAAGACTTCCAATGGCCAGAGTACATTGCGCTTGCGATTGTACACTGGCTGAATGTAATATTCTGTGCGAATACTCAAAGGTTGTGCCATGAGGTCGGATGCTTCCACAAAAAAAGGTCCAAAGCAGAAGAACAGCTTCCCGTCTCAATATATACGCAAAAATAAGCAAAAATATATATATATATACAGTTATATACATATACATAAGCCCAAGAAACATCCTCAACAGCTGGGCATGGATCCGCCTGTTAGACCAAGCTGTCTTCAACAATGTGAGTCCTTTCAATGTACCAAGCGAGCATACAAACAAGGCAACACGTCCGCAAGGTATGTGCAAGCATGACAACGTCGCAAAACACATAAAATAAACAAGAATCAGGGAACCTGCTCTGGAATCCGCTCTGGACTTTCCAAGCAAGTCAGAACGACAGCATGACCCACTTCAGGATCTCAGCGTGACCATGTCTCAGCATGTTAGTGTGACCCATGCCAGCGCGCCAGCATGACAACATGTGGTTCCGTGTTACAGTATTATACACAGCATGTTTGCAAAGTGCTCCGGAACCTACTTCGAAACTTGCTCCGATCTGCTCCGAAGTTTAGAAGCCCAAGCAAAAGTCCCCAACAGTTTGGCTGTTGCATTTGTATGCATTTGTGGATTTGCTGATAAATTAGGCAATGGCAACCTCGCTTGGCAACATCGCTTACGCGACTTCTCGTTTGGATTCAGATGTCTGTCAGCAGAGGTGCAGCAGGGAAAACCCGTGGTCGTGGACTTTTATGCCACTTGGTGCGGCCCCTGTTGGGGCGCCCAGGCTCAGCTGTTTTTGATGATGCTGAGATCGGGAGGTGCATCACTACAAGCTCCCAGAGTCATCAAGCACAGCGGGTCCCGCTGTGCAGGGTCGATGTTTCGTCGATCTGATGTCACGCAGCCTGCGTGACTTGGACAAATGCGAGTCCAAATCCAACGGTTCCATGTCACGGTCACCCTAAGAATCCTTGGCCCAACTAAACCCTTCCCATTGGTTCGGGCCCGGAGTCTTAGGGCCGTGTTGAATCCAACAAGAGAAAAGTGCGGTGACCCCTATCCGACCCACCTGAAAATCACAGGAATTGGAGATTCCCAGATTGAACTGATCCCGAATCCCCAGGTGTGCCCATGGCATTCAGAATCAATCAGCCCCTTGAAAATCGGGAGGTCGCCAGGCACCCCTCTCCCATCCTCTCCCCGTCTTGCTTGTGATGACCCAAACATGTTTTTCTCCAAGAATGAGGTCGTGATGTCGATATGCTGTCGTGGAGTCACATGGGGGGACAGAAGTTGGGACTGGTCAGCGGTTTCAACTGGGCAGAAGTTGCTTCGTTGTGGGGAGTGACCATGGCATCAAGGCACAACAGGGCACAGACAAGCCTTATGTAACCCCACAAGAAGATGATAAACCAGTTTCTTGGCAACCTGCTCCATGACTCTTGTGCAGTGTTTCTATGTGGTGTCCCTTCCCAAGGTCAGATGCTAACGCCAGAGCTGGTGAAGGCCTGGGAGGAATTGCATATGATTTTGCTACCTTCCATGGATCTTGGGGTAGGTGCATAATATGCTTGGAAACCTTGTCACGAAAGCTAGCGAAGCTAGCTGGAGTTACTCTTGCGATAGCAAGGTTTCTTTCGATCGGGTGCAAATCCTAACCCCTGATCTTTCAGGTCGAAGCCCCGCCCCCCCTCCCCACCTCCCCTCTCCTCCTCCTTGTCTTCCTCCCACCTTCCCTCCCTCCCTCCCTCCCTCCTCCTCCTCCTCCCTCTTCGCAAGTTCGACTCCGTCCTGTCGTCGCTCTTTGGCATGCGGTTAGCGTTGCGTATCTTGCGGCCGCACTCGCTCACTCTCACTCTCACTCTCACTCTCACTCTCACTCTCACTCTCACTGTCTCTCTCTCTCTCTCTCTCATCTCTCTCATCTCTCTCATCTCTCTCTCATCTCTCTCTCATCTCTCTCATCTCTCCCTCATCTCTTTCTCATCTCTCTCTCATCTGTCTCTCCTCTCTCTCTCTCTCTCCTCTCTGTCTCTCGTCTTTCCGTCTCTCTTCTCTCTCTTCTCTCGCAGGAGGATCCGGGCAAAGAGCCACATATAAAGGACTCTTCACCTGGAATCGTTTGCCCCGCCCAACTTGTGCAAGGCGTCCTGCCTTCTGCTACTCCGTGCGACTGCCTCCAAAAAGAGCACCGTGTTTTTTCCTACCTCGCTGCCCTCCACTTTCCCATTCTGGAGCGCTAGCTTTCGCCCCCCCCTTGGCCTCAAGTTTAATATACAATTATAACTATCTTCTGGTTGGCACCAGATCTGAAATCATTGACGCCATCACCTTGAGCCACGCTGACATGTTCATCATCGCATGGAGATTCAACAAAAAAGGCAAGCATGATGCACCATGCTTGGCCTGCCTTCCGTTGATCCCCTGTTTCCGGTGTCGACCGGGTTTGGAGAAGATTTGTCGGTTTCGCAGGTGGCTGCGAGGCTTCAAGATCGCGTCACCATTTTGAAGGCGCAAGCGCTCGTGTCCGTGAGGTGGCCGACACGTCACGTGTCATTTCCGCGTTGGCCGAGGCGTTTTTTGGTGCAGAAGGCAACCCATGAAAAGTACTTGGTGGGCGTAATCGCGAAGAACCTGTGTTGCACCAAGCTTTCTAGTGGCGATTGATTTATACACAGTGGATTGAAAGTTACCTCAAGTTTGGTGGTTTATACGGGTCCCCAATAAAAACAAACATCTTGGGGTGCCAGTGTCATTTATACTGTACGTACTGAAATCACTGTAAAACAATGTAAAATCAAGTATGTACCACTTGGTACTCATGTTCCAAGGCGCTTTGAGACTCCAGCTTCACATCACTTGGCCCGAGCCGATCACCCCAAAAAACGCCCCGAGCCGATGGTTACGACCGAGGTAGACACGGATGTGGAGACTGAGATTGCCAGCGAGCTGGATATCCAGGCGGTCGGACTCCCTCCACCGTCCACCATGATTTCCACCTCCATGTTTTGCTTGCTCATGACCACCATGTCATGACCATGTCCACTTATTGCCAGCAAGTTTGGCCGATGCTGGGCATGGCTGGGCCTCATTCGATCATTTTGGCCAGGCTCTTCCCACCCTGCTCTTCTTCAAAGATGGCAACATGAAGCCAATGCCTTAAATGCCTTCATTTGCAGATCGAGAGACGGTTTCAGCATGTGTCAGTTCAAAAAACTGGAGGACAGAGATCGATGTGTTTCGAGTGCAAGGCAGACAGGATGTCGGCCGAGGGACCACCGCAGCCGGTTGTGGCAACGACCAGCGTTCTTGTTTGTTCAAAATGCTTGCACTTGAACCCTATATCCTTGGATCCAGATGTCCGTTGGCTTCAAATCATCTTCAAGGGTTTGGGATTTGGCCATCTGAAAAAACGAAAACCAAAAGCAAGTGCTTTGTGTTCACTTCCCCGCGACTTCCCCCGTGTTCAGTGATCTTGATTCGGAGCGCAGGACATGAACTGCTGGTGGCTAAGGAGGGAACGATGGATCGGCTATAGCGCCTTAGGGCTCCAACGACCTCCGTTTCGGTTCGGTGGTTGGGGTGGGTGGTTTTGGGGGTCTAACCACCGAACCTGAGGATATGGTTGGAGCCCCAAGGACGAATAAAACAGCAGAACACTCCGGGGAAGTCTCGGGCCTCGCCTCAAACCACCGAGGCCCGTGGCCAAAGTGGAGGGCCTGGTCTCAGCCGATTGGCTCGAGGCGACGCGTGAGCAGTGATGGCGAAAGGTTGGTTGACCACCGATGGGAGACCCCGGGGTCGTGCACAAGCAATATATAGTATGGACCCTCCAAGAACCTTGGAAAAGGGGTACAAGGTTAGAGGGTCATCTCCCATTTTCTAGGGTACTGTGGAGGCGCTCCAAACAGCCCTTGGTCTATGGGGATTTGAGACCCCAGACCCCTCCAGAGGATTCGGGTCCAGGAGCTTGGCCTTGTGTGTTAGGAGCTTGGCCTTGCAACCACCCTGCATGTCACACTGCTGCGTGTGGCCACCACCCTTGGTTGATGCCGGTCCTTATTTATGGGCTTGCAGGTTGTCCAGTAGAGCCAGGCTTCCACCTTGTGATTGGTGTCTGATCTTCCATCTACTTCTTTCGCGCAGCGAGCTCTTTGACCGGAGGACTACATCACGGACAACCTCTTTCCAAGCGAAGTGACCGAAGTCACCGAAGCAAGCGAAGTCACCGCGGCGGAAGCCTCGTGATCGGTGCGGTGTTCGGAACACCACGCAACCGGTGTTCGGTTGGTGTTGAGTAGTTGGTCTGACCGTTTGGCTCGTAGTGAAGGTCAATGAAGGTCACAAGGTGGCAAGCAAATCCATTGTTTTGACAGTTTGTGACCGTGTTGGCCACCAAAATTACATTTAAACAACGGCGTGGCGCCATGCGGAACCTGATGCGATATTTCGGCCGCCTTTCTTGCCAGCCGAGCTATGTGATGGCAAGCCGGGGCGAAGCCTGGGGGGTTCAGAAAACGATGAATCGCTGGTCCAGGTGCAACGTCACACACTTGGGCATGTTGGGGGTGTCTCAAAGAACATGTTATATTATAATATATATATATTACTGTGAAGTCACGACATTCACGGGTTGCTTGCCAGAAGTCTTTGAGACACACTTTTGTTGTACAGTCTGATGTTTCATTGATGTCCTACTCTGTGATTCCAGTCGCTGCAGCTGACGTTTGTGTTTCTTTGTTTTCCGGCATGGGCCACTGACATAAACCTCAATGTGATGTGCGTGTGAGTGACCTGTGCATACCGTAGTAGATAATATGCAGGTTCAGGTGAATGAATGTTTTCACACACTTCTAACAAGACCCCCAAGACATTCCAGTTTGGTATTACTCAGCACACATCAACACTAATCTTCCGCACATTTTGATATCGTTTGAATTAATTTGATTGATGATGGCAGTTCTTGGCACTGTATTCGCCACGGTTCTGGGTCTGAAAGGCTTTGAGTGTCGATTCCAAAAATGGATGAGTCGGTAAGACAGTGTTATGCGGACCCTGCTCTTCGGACCCCGAACGCATCAACCGTTAACAAAATGGTCACCCATCCCGAAGCACAAAAGCAGGTCAGCTGTTTTACCCCTAGGGATCCAGTCGTACCTCCTCAAAAGGTACTTGGACCCTCCTGGCACCCACACCAGTCCCACCTTCGAAGGTGCAACTGGATCCCTGGGGATTGTCTTACACCAAAACGGAGGGTGTCAGCCAGACTGTTCTGGTCTTTGTCCAACGGAGGGTGTGTGGTCGCCCAATGGCCGAGTCGAGTGGAGTCTGAGTTTGCCAAGCGAGTTCCTTATTTGGATGAACCCGGTGAACTCACGAAGAACGGTGGCGGAATCCGATTCCTGTCTTCTACTCGTAGTAGACCCTTATGACCTACGCAGGAGGCTGAGGGGGAGCAACGGTGACACCACCATTCTCCAGTCCAAACAGGGGGTCAGACGGGTTCTGGTATGAGATTCTAAGTGATCCCATCAAAGCTTTTGGATGCTTTTTGGTACCTGCTTCTCTTCTCTAAGCTATTTGGAAGGTAAGTTGAAAAGGCTGTTTAACTCGATCACCGCCAGCCAGCCAAAACTTCTAGACCTTTCTAGACCACATATATTATATCTCCTGCTTCAATAATCAGTCACCCAGCCAGTTTGTATCTCCAAGTGGTAGTGGATCCAGGGCAATCACAGCAAACAGCAGGACTGAGCCAGAGGGTCATCATTGGCTCATCACCGGCTGATTGAGTCGAGCTTGCGGTGGGCTTGGACGGAGCAGGTGGAGAAGCCGGGACTGGGACTCTTTCCCGGTATATAGTATGGTGCTGTCAGCATGGGTGGAAAGGAACCATTCCCGAAGTCATTTCTAGCTACGGGTAATGATGGCCTCCAACCTACTAGTGATGGCCTCCAACCTAGTAGCTTCTTGCTAGTAGTACACACCTGGACCATCCGGTATCCAATGCTCTATGGCCTATGCAACTAGCGCACCTGGGATCTCCAGCCAGGACACGCAAACAGGATGGTCCGTGTGTGGTGGAGAGCTTCAGTACCTAACGGTGGGTCCTGAGTTCCTTCCATGGAGAGGTGGAGTTGAAGTTTTTTGGATTCCCTGACGTTTCAACAAAAACAGCTTGAGCGAGCCAGACCCAACTTTGGGGATGTGTTTTCTTTGCGAAAAAAAAAGAAAAAAGCGGGAGTCTTTGGTCCAGCCAGCGTCGCGCCGGACTCCGGCGAGGCTGGAGAAGCGGAAGTAAACTAGCTAGTGGTTAGAAAAAAGCAATAAGCCCGGGGCCCGGGGGTATCCACATTCCAGTTGAAACATGGAGCGACCTGGCTGGGGAGTTCTCCGCCCCCCACATGGCTGGTAAATCCATCGACCTGGTCGAAAGCTGCATGTTTTACTCAGCTGATTCGTGAAGTATCCGAGACGAAAGTTCTTCTCAGCTCAATACCTGGACTCTCCAAAGTATCCAGGACAAGTGGATCACGTTTAACCTTTGTTGGGGGATTGGGGACGCCCTAAGAATTCGATCCTGAGTGTTTTCGTGATGCCATCGCGAGACATAGCTGGAGAGGTGGAACAGATGGAAAATAGGTTAACCTTGTTTTTTTTCATCTGGAAAAAACGAGGGAGTCAGGCAAAGTACCCTTGTTGATCCATTTGCTTTCGGCTTGGAGGCTTGGTCAATGGGGTGGTCACAGGCTTTGGTCGGTTTTCGTTATGCATGTTGATGCACATCTTTGAAGATCTACATGATGATTTTTACCCGGTGACATCCACTGCCACCTTCTCAGGTTCGGTACCACTGGACCCTTGCAGACGGTCCAAGGAGTCCAGGGACCCTCCGCGCCAGTCTCGTTGGACGAACACCTCCGCAGGATGGACCATGCGTGTGATGGACGTATACTGATGGACCCTGAATGGGACTGGCTGATTGAAATCCGCTTCTTCCTTTTTTGTTTTGTTTTTTCACGGTACTACGTAGGTCTTCCAAAGCAAAACGCCGTTCACCGGCAGAAAGTTCACGTTTGTTCACACTTGTTCACTGGGTGTGCGGAGACTCAGATACTCAGATCTTCCAAGCCTGATCCGTCGCAGAACGTTCCCCGCTCATTTGAAGATCGCTTGGGCTCAGCCAGCTTTTTAAGTGACGGACAATTAACGATGCCGGACCGGGGTTTTGAGATGGAACAACTCGGCACAGGCAATGGCACAGCGTCCCGGACCTGCCTCAGTTCGTGAGCTCTTTGGTGTCTCTGTTTGTGACGAAGGATCTGTGGGATAGTTTTCGTTGAGCCAAGCAGATGCCTTCGAGGAAGTTCGAGCTTCAGCGTGAACTTCCTTCATGTGTTTAGGAACTGTAACAAACTCGTTAAAGCCCTTCCAAGACCATTTGTTTCCTGAGCTGAACCAATGATGACGTTGTGTCGTTGTCTTTGTTTGGGATTCTTACGAGATCCGTCTCCATACTGGGTATGTGATATGTAAGCTTCAACAGCAGCTCCATATCGGGGATGAACATCATCCATGTTACTCGTACAAATAGCCAAATAGCACAAAAAACAACATGGAGGACTCTGAGTGGATAAATGCAGTGACCTTGACACATACTCCTACCTGTGCTGAGAGCATATGGTCATGTTACTCCAGAATGCTATCAAAAGGTGACTGGATGTTCCACGACACGCCGCTGGGTGATCCGATTTCGGCGTTGATTCTACAGCGGAAAATCTCAGGCATCCGCTGTGCCGCTGCGTGCCCTTCAGATTCCGGTCCAGACCGATACCGGCAGTTGCTCTGTGAAGATCATCACTTGGGCCACTTCGGTCGCTTCCAACGGGTCTTCGGGTCCGAGACGACCCTGCACTACCGATGCACCGAACTGACAGGACACCCAGGACGGATGATCGTGGTAGACAGCTGTGATAGGAAAATCAGAGACCTCATCCGTTGGTGTCCGGCACACCTCCAGCAGAGCCATGCCACCCTTTTTGTTGACTGGACCAGGCGGTGATTCCTCTGGAAGGCTCGGTCTTGGACTGGGCAGCTTAGCTCCTGCTAAGTGGCTAAGGGCCTGAACCAAGTTAATCATTCCATGTTCCATTTTTATGAGGCCTGATGGGACATTGGAGACCTTTTGCAGGGCAGATGTTGCAGAGTATGTTTGAGGTAGCATCGTCTTGTCAATCAACACCATGCCAGCGGTGCCTCCAGTAGACTTATGGAGTGTATATAGTATAAATTCCATTTCCTCCAGTCTTTTATGTCACTTTGTCATGGGTCATAGAATGTCACAGAACATCATAGAGTCATAGAATTATTTGAAACATACTGTAAGTACAATGAAACAAGCAAGAACAAGACAACACAATTATTTTCATTATATACATGTGTTGTGTTCGCTAGTTTATATATATATATATATATATGACTATTATGTTAATATCATATATGACTATAATGACTTACGTCCAGGTGGTGATCTTTTGCGTGTGGCTGCCACCAGCTCTTGGCCCAAAAATCGACCGCTGGGCTGAACCACCAGACCGCCTCGCAAAAAGGGAACAGGCTTGAAGAAGCCTTTCAATTTGTATCATTGTGTTTTGTGATAAGCACACACAAAAACACCAAGGGGTTGTGAAGTCTTTTTTGAGAAATGTTTGGGAATGTTTAAACACTGAAGTGTCCCCCCATGCGGAATTTTGGGGCAAAGCATTTAACGACGTATCAGGTAAGAGCCCTTTGTTCGTTCACTCTTTGATAGGTCGGCACATCCCAAAACGATATCGTCGAAGCTTCTCAGGTTCGGTATCCTCCTGGAGCCCGACGTTCGGGCACCGGCAAGACATAGCAGCGGGAAGGACATAACAGTGGAGACAACGCATGCACCGGTACCTCAGGTTCGGAACGAAAACGGATCCCTATAGGGTCTTATACTTTTACAGAGGGAACACACACATATATGGCATTTTGCAGCATGTTCACCGGCCCTAGAATCCAGTAAAATATATCGTTGGATGTTTATCCATGTGCAGGTTTTTTCTTTGGTCAACAGTAGGGGATAGGGTTGATGAGACTTGCACGTTACATGCTCCATCAAGAGACAGAAGAAGGAACCTGTGCAACCCTTCAGCTCATTTGGCTCACCTCCAAGCCGTCCTCGGCTTCTCATGTTGTGCTTAAATCTTTGATTCTTTATCGGTCAATTCTTTTGGGCTAGTTGCTTGCTTCTCAGAAAGCATAACATCTCTCCAGACAATTTGCTCAGACTATAGACATTTTCACAACATATCTCTTATGGCCACTCCCCAAAAACGCCCAAACATCTTTGCGCAGGGGGACCGTGCATGTTTCGCCGGAGACCTGGCTCAAGAGTTCGGGCGACAGAGGGCGCTTTTGTACGTTTCGCCATGGCAAGGTGGGAGCGCCTTGTGTTCGAACGGTCCCCGTTTGGAGGCTGTGGCCAAAACGACCGGGGGGCATTGGAATCCCAAAAATGGTGGGAACCGCCCGCTTGGCCATGTTGGTCAACATTCCAAAGCGATCAACGATCAACTGGTGGACAGATTGAGTGCTCGAGGGATATGTTGGACAGCGGCGGGTGGGGGATCAGTGGGATCTCTATTTGAGTCCTTCTTCTTTTCCTTTGATCATGATGGATAGATGGATATAGACGGTATACAGTTATGGTACAGATTGTCTATTGCTTAGAATAGGGTCAATGTCCATGGTCTAGGGCCACCCGTCCAGGTCGGCCGCACCCGTCCAGGTCGGCGCGCTCGAAGATGGCCGCTCGAGGCGAGCGGATGGGCCCGGCGAGGGACCTCCCTAAAAGTCCGTCGATGGTGCGTGGGGCGAAAACCACTGGTACAGGTGACGGGCTTTTTTCCCTGCAAAAAATGCAGGAATCGGTCGCCAAGGGTTAGAGATCCCACGAACTTTTCAAGGTGCTTTTTGGGGACCTATAGAGGACCTAGATAAGTGGTTAAAGATCGGTGACGCTCGGAGAGTGGCGATCCAAATCCAAATGTAGGAAAAACTCAGGCACGACAGATAGCATCACGAACCTGATGCCAGCCCAAGGCCAGGACTTGCTTTCTTATGCGTTCGTCAGATCGGGTAAACTCGGGTAACCTTTGGGTGCAAGACTTGGGATGTTTGAAATCGGAATTGCGAACTAACATTTCTTGTTTAACGCTCAAAATAGGGGTCCAATCCGGTTGAACCAGGGGAGCAGGACTGCCCTTTTTGCACGGAGCCTGTGAACGGGGAGTGAACATGATTCTTAAAGGCGCAGTAGGGGGGGTCTTAAGTGGGCCTTTGGGTTGACATATCCCAGACCATCCACTGACCTCATTGGTGTCGATCAAAAGAAGGTTTGGCCTGAAACCGTACACGGAGTCGGACAGGACCCTTCACCAAGGAGCGCATGGTACGACATGGTGCGAACCAGCCCATGTTTTGAGGTACCAAGCAGCGCAAGCAGTTGGGTCAGGTCTTAAACAAGGACGTATGGTCGGGGTTACTCCATGCCACCCCTCAGCAAGCTCTATGGACATCCCAAACAAGGGGTCTATGGCGGTCTATGTATGTCTACTTGTGTGTGTGTGATTTAAGTTAAATACTGTAGTGTATTCCTGTTGTATAAGTATAACTGTCCTACAACTGTCCTCGAAGTTCTTGACTGTAACTTGTGGAGTCCAATGCCTCGTTGTTCAGTTGTGATGAACTTCCCGGATTTGGCCCAGGTTTTGAGGATGGAATCATCACAGATCACGTCCGGGATGTCACCCAAACATGTTACCAAATCGAGCACCTCAGCGATATCACATGCCTCAAATGGTTCAGAGTTGGGGTGGTCTTGTGTGCCAGAAGTGCTTGTTTCTTTCTCTTTCCATCCAGTCGTACCGAACCTCAGGTACGGTGAAGTGTTGTCTCCACTGTTATGTGCCATGGCACGTCGGGTCCAGTCGTACCGAACCGGTTTGGTACCTTCCGTCGGATCCTGGATCCGGTTGAGTCGAGGGATGGTCAGCACTCGTCACGCTCGTCACGGGGCCGAATCGGCCGCCTTCCAGGCTTTGTCGCTGCTGCCGTATGGATGGCAGTGCTTGGCCACTGGGCTCCCCGAGCTCGACCCGAACTGGCACGGACTCGGACCCGTTCCGGGGAGCCACATGAGTCAGGTCTACCGGTCAGGGTAGAGTCCGGTGCAGCCACAGAGACGTGTTCGGTCCAGCGGTTTGATGTGGTGTTCATGGCCGCCCTGGTCAACACACTCACAGGATGGTGAAGGCCGGAGGAATTCTGGAAGTGAGGACCTGACATCATGTCATCCGATGGGAACGAAGAGACACTCCAGAGCAGATGCATAGGAGATCATAGGAGATATATATAGTTCATGACAAGTATTCCATTTTGCCTCTGAGGATGACAACTATACCTGGACCCTCCCAAGCACCATATGCCATAGGAATGGAACATGACATGACCCTATAAAGACAGGTGCTTGTATCCATTTTCCGAGGCAGGTGCTCTTCCTGCCACAGCCCGGTAGGTTTTCCTGGTTCTTCATCCACTGGACCAAGGGGCGAAGGTGGCGGTTGAGAGTCCACCGAGAACTTGGGCGGTTCTGGTTGCCCAGCGCCCCCAAATGACCACCCAGACGCACAGTCTGGATGCACCGTTCAGTCGGACCCAAATTCTTTGGAGGGGTCTGGACCCGAAACGAGTCACCGGTGTGTTGAGTCACTGGTCCGTCGCTGGTGAACGGAGCATTTGGGGGGCATCTGGGTAACGGTAAGGGAATTTAAGGGGCCTGATCAACAGCAGGTGGCTGAGCAGCCCCATCATTGACCGGCAACGCCGCCAACAAATGGCCGCGCAACATGACAGATTTGGTTGGCTTTAGTGTTGTTTCAGTGTGTCATACCTGGAACTTCCTCAGTGTTTTTACATTTAAAAAAAAACATGCGGTGTGAAAAAAATCCTCGGTGAAAAAACACTTGATGGCTTTAGTCAAAGTTTGAGTGTTGTTTCGGTGTGTCATATTATTGACCACCATGGAGCAGTTGGGTAGGAAACCACTGATTCTACTTTCAGTGTCACTCAGTGACATGTCCCTGGGTTTGAGAATCGTCGCATCATCCTCAAGTAGTGAGTCAAGAACTTGAGATTTTCCTCCTTGTGATCACACAATTTCGGTTGGCCATCATGTTTGAGTGTTTCTTGGTCTAACACTTTCAGCGGAACAAAAAAACAAACAACAGAGCATGTTGGTTGGCTTCGTTCAAAAGTGAAGGAGTTTTGGATCGTTTTGGCATTGGAAGGCGATGATTCGATGGGTCACCTGTCAACTCGTACCAGTTTGGCTGACCAGGTCTGGACCAGATCCACAATGGCCCAACTAAGGCTTCGTCACTCTCAAGAGAATCTTACTACCAGCACCTTCAAAGGGGTCACCAATGGAAGCCCCTACACCACTAAGGGACCTCCATTGGACACCCCTTGAAGGTCCAGGTATGAATGATTGTTGGGGGTTTGACATTTTTATGTTAAACTTTCTATTCGGATAATCTTAGACCCAGCTATATCAATGCACATGGGCTGAGAGATACACCAGAGACTCCAAGACTCAAAAGATACTGTTCAAGCAGGGGATGGGAAAACCCCAGCATGTCAATCTTTGGACAAAAAGAAGCAGGGAGCCAGGGAGCCTTGCCTTTTTCCATGCATTTGCTGAGATTGCCACTGTTCCAAGGCCTGCGATCCTCTACCTTCGTTCCCGAGGCAGGGGGAATCCCTAAGTCCCGGTGCGACCGGAGTGTCCCGTCATACTGAACCCGAGGAGGTACGAAGGAAGGAGCCACATCACTGCACTTCTAAGGAATCGGAACCGACCCTTTGGGTCGATTGGTCTCGCGAAGACGTGAAGTCTGGATCCTGGACCCGAATCCTCTGCTCAATTCTCTAGGTTTTGAGTTTGGAGCGTTTGGTTATTTAGGTAACCACTCTGGTTCAACTAGCTAGACAATGACAATGCCAAGGGCTGTACAGTGGAGATCCTGCGGGAGTGTACAGACTTCCATCGATGACCCCTTGGAAGCTGCTGGTACCAAAAACACAGTGAACTGAAAGCACAGGTTCGATGGCACCTGTACCACCTGTGCCCAGGGGGTCTGTATAAACCAGCAAACTTGGGACTTGTGCCATTTGCTCCTCTAGTGCGCCAAGTACCTCCGATAGTAAACCCACCCCAACTACTGTAGAAGCTGCTTGGAGCCTCGGTCGTTGAAATCACTGTATTTCTATACTTGTGACTGGATCCACCGCCTGGATCCCCTTGCTCACCCTGCTGTCCGCACAGCGATGAAGATCCCAAGTGCCAACTCACTCCACGCCATGGGAAGGAAAGGCGAAGAGGGAGAGCTGTTGACCTAGACCCGACTTCATTCTGAGAGCTGTGTCAAAAGCTCAACCTCATTCGAGAAACACACCCATGCTGCCCATGGACATCATGATAGGGTTTGGCGATGGCTCTTGGATGGAACACATAGATTTTGAACCAGCCAGTTACTTACAATATATAGTATACTATATAGTGAAACAACATGAAACAACTGTTATATCACAATAACCGCATAGCCCAGCTGAAACGATAGAAAAAGGGGCTTCGATGAGTCCAACAGATCTGTTCGGTCAGAAGTCGGATCGGTCGACACACACGACGAGACCCAGGACCGTGACCCAGTGACCCAGAGGGTCACGATCTCGTGAACGTGGCGGGTCGGTCACTGAAGTCTGGTCACGTTGGGTCACGTAGACCATAGATAGGACTTGTTAGGTTTGGAAGATCCCCTGAAGGAGTCGTTACCAGTGGGACTGCATAGCAGTCACATATACCAACCCTGAAGTTCGGTTACTGAGAAGGTCCTGGCAGATGAAATGAAGAGGTCCGGACGTCTCAGTTTTGTGAAAACTCCGAGAAATAGACATCCCAGCCACAGAGCTCCCGTTGGATTATGTCGGATGATGAGGTCTATCCCAGACGCGACCTGTCTGGGACTGCCATGTATCAATTGGGGGTGGTGCCACGGGGGTCAATGGGGCGGCATAGGTATGAATCTCCATGAAGGAAAGATGTTTGCCATTCCTATGCCATTCCTTGTCACGTTGAGTCTTTTGAGTGGGTTTGGATGACAAGTTGGACTTCCAAGAAAGCAGCTATTGGAAGTTCACTCGGATTGAACACTCCCGGGTGTCAACTATCATCAGGGTCGCCCATGAAGCTCAATCTGGACTCCTTTTGGGTAAGGCTCAGAAAAGATTGACCTCCCAAATCCATTCGTTCAAGGCCCCAAATCTGCAAAAACAAGCATACCGCAGGTCCCCAGCTGCACGGATCAAGTTGCCTTGTGCGCCCCTTGTGAGGCCTTGCCTCGAAGAGAGTTAGTCGCATCAGTCATGGCCCAAGAGATGGTCAAACAGATTGGCTGCAGAGTGCTGCAGTGCTTTTGAGCCAATGATGAGAAAGACACAAGGACGTCCCAATTTTCGAGACTGGATGATTGTCCTACATGGGACGGTCAATGAGACGTGTCAATGAAATGAGTCAATGGGGCGGTCTATATAAACCGAACCCATGAACTTGTACCGTTTAATGGTCTTAGAAGGCCAGCGGGTCATTTTATCCGGAAACCCAGTCCCGAAACAGTTCTGGAACTCCCCCCCCACTGCCTAAGAGGGATCTCAAGTGGAATTCCGCCACGGCTTGGGTTCCAACCAGAACTGTTTCTGGTATTAGAAACAAGGTTCGCTACTAGAAACAAGTGCATCGCTACTAGGAGCAAGGGCCTTACTAGTAGTAACAAGAAGCTATTAGAAACAATAAAATAGAAATAAGTGGGAGATGTTGAGACTGGGGAACTCCGCATGGTCGATGAAACGAAGACCGCTCCGTCCCGACCCCATCCGTGGCCGACCCTCCTTCTGCGGACAATCGCGGTGTCTTCCGCTGGAAAAGGCCGCGAAGTAACCAAGGACATTTACAGAGCCGCGAAGTCACGAAGTGGATGGCATGGTCCCGTATACGGATCACATCCTGTACAAATCAGCACAAGGGTCACCATCCACGCCTTCGTTGGCGCCTCCGTTGTGGGGGTATTCGGAATGGACTCCATGGGCCCGATGGCGCCTGTCGACGTCCGAGGCGATGTTGGCCGCTTTGGCGGGCGGATCTCTCCCGGACCGTCCGGCAGTCCCAGTTTCCGCCGCGCACGGTTGGGGAGGTGGCGGAACGGGTTTGGGGGGTGGTTCCCCAGATTTTTGGGGCTCCTGTCATCCCAAATCCCAAAAAGGGTGGTTGGGGTATGTTGGGGTGGGTGCCGGAGGGTTCTTAACTACCTTCAGACAGGAGCCCGAAAGAGGGAAAGTCAGTGCAGATGAACACCACCAGGGCGAGGATGTAGATTCATGATCGTATATATGTATTTGTTTGAAACTTGTTCTCTCCGAGTGGAGCGTCCGAACACGGCCATTGTTGCCAATTGTTGCCCAAGAGTGGGTTCACATAGGCTCACAAATGGTATGATACTGCTGGGAACATGTTCTAAAATCCTGGCGTGGGCAGTATCTTCTGCCATATGAGAGAGAGAGAGAGAGAGAGAGCGGTCTTCGAGCAGTCCCTGGTCTTCTCACCCCGGAGGCTTGGTCAATGGGGTGGTCATGCTTTTGTTGGTTTGTGTGATGCATTTTGATGCTCACTTCCAAAACCATCCGAAAAGGAGATACCTTGACCTGGACCCTATTTTGGGCAACTGTATAATATATAACTGCAGCCTCCAAAGTACCCTAGACTAGAATCATCTAGAACATGGGACATGACTCTATTACAAAAAGCATGCAAAAACTCTTATTTGTACCCATTTTCGGAGCTCCATCGCATGATTCTGTCGACGACTTCTTCACGCCGGCGTGAACACACCGGTCCTTGGCGGGTTTCCATTGGGAGACGTCACATCCTTTCGCGAACTGCCGATGGCCCAGGTGCCGAAGCGCAATATGCTCCTGGCAAGAATCGTGCCCGGGCGCCAGGTGACGACCCTCGGATCGGGTCGACGATGAAGCGAGCGCCGGCAAGAGATGATTGGTATGGAATCGATGATCGTATGCCCTAGAGCCTTCAAAGACATAGTGAAACAGTGGTTCTTTGGTAAAGGGTCATTAATCCCAGGGTATGGATGTAATTGTAGGTGGTTTGTTGGTGTGCTTTTTGCATGAGGACTTGGTTCACATTTATTGTTGCGCAACAGACAAATCCTTGCGACTGATACTTGTGTATGTATGTGCAAGTCTCTCCCTGCACCCTCCGAAGCACCCTATCCAAAGTCCAAAGTACCTATAAAACAGGTGTACCCAATTTTGTCCGAGGCACTTGGAGGGTCCAGGTACTTCTTCGTCCTGGATATAATACAGACCATGCTCAGAGTCAGGACCCAATTGACTGAAAAGCGTCACTACTCTCGAGACCAAGACCTACGCGACAGCACAGAGGTCCTGTGACAGTGACCAAAAGTGCCCATGTTTTGGTGTTACCACGCGGTTGTCCCACCGGTGAAAAACAGTCCAAAAGGACCATATACCGGTGACATTCACTCGCGATAAACCTACCGACGTGTTCATCACGCGGAACTCTCAGATCAACTCCCTCTCCCTGGAAAACGACATCGCCGCCGGCAACTTCGAGGGTTACGACCTGAAAGGCACGACACCGCTCCGCCACCGCGTGAACCGCAGGGGGTTCTACTGCGCGGGGTGGTTCTGACGCTTGTGCCACTCACTCCTCATAGAAAACCTCGTATAAACCCGCCCTGTGAAGGGAATGAATGCAGATGAAAGTGGGTGACACTCTAGAAGTCTAGATACTGTAGTTCGACTGTCGAAGTTAAGTTGGTCTAGGGTTATCTAAAGACCCGTCTTAAAACAGTCCACTGGACTCTCCATTGTTTAGCTTCGTGTCGAGGGCTACCGGCGGCGGCCGATCGGGTGAGGGTCTCGACACCACCCTACGGGACCACAAGACCGTGTTGGACACCCCGAATCGACCATAATTACCTCTTATACATCCTCATACTACATGTTTGTTGGGGCTATGAAAAAGACCCAAACAGGGGGCCCTTGGCGGAGATAGATACCCCGACCTGCAATTGATTGGCTCCCAAAAGGGCCGTTCTGCCCTAACACCGGGTACTCTCCCAAACCTGGCCCGGACCATATGTGGCCAGGTGCCCAAAACAGGGCCCCACCCCACCTGGCTGGTGCTGGTTGTGTGTGTGGTTTTGGTGCGGCTTCCCCCCACAGGTCCGTCCGGATGGACGACGGGTCGATCCAGGCACCTCCGATCGCTTGGGGTCGAAGCTGACGAATAACTACGATAAGGTGGGGGGCGAGAGACACCGTGGGAAGGGGTGGGAAGTGGGAAGGAGGTTGAAGCAACGACCGCAAGGTATAATGACATTATTAGTTTTTTTGTCAGTTTGTACATATTACTGTAATTAACTATTATAGTTTGTTTTTGTTCCGAGGTGGTGTCTTTGTAGCTAGTCCCACACATGTGAAGCCCCAAAGAGTATAGTTGTGGGTCTTTCACTCGAGACTCACGAGTCTTGACTCCTCGTGGGTTGTGAGTTGATGTTGTTTGCAGAAGGGGTGACCAAATTCTGGGAGGTCCAAGTGGGGGGGGCAAGGAGCGTCACCCTTGAAATCCTGAGGGATCGGTTTGCACAAAACCTTTGGCCCAAGGTCCGTCGTCACTTAACGTACCCTAGGAATCCACGGTCACCTTCTCGCAAGGTACGACTGGACCCTCCTGGCACCTACATAACAGTGTCTCCAATCACCTTCTGAGAAGGTACTTGGATCCCTAGGAATAGACTTAGAAACGAGCGTTTGGCATGTGCCGAATGGGAGGTCCTCCAGCCCATGGCGGGAGGAACTCAGATCGACTCTCGGGAGACGAACATGGAAATCCCATCGCCCATAGCTACGCTCCGTTCCGTTCACAGGCCGACCACGGACCCCTCAAAACCGGATTTGAAGGTCTGGAGCTCTTTAGCCCCTGTGAACAACATACCTTCTGAGAAGGTGATTGGAGACTATTTATGTTGGTTTGGAGGGCCCAAATACCTGGTGAGAAGGTGGCAGTGGATCCCTAGGGTATATTCGGGTCCGACCCCTACTGCACCAGCATCCGACGGCCTACGTGGGAGATAGTGGGAGATGCTTTTTCTGGATTGGACTCGCTACATTAGGCCTGTTCTTTTTGCGGACGAGGTTCATTATCCTTGGGAAATCACCGAGCGAAGACCGAGTCAAAAAGCAGACGCGCGAGTCAGACAAACACGAGTCAGAAAGCACCGTATATAATATAAATCACCACACCTGGCCTAGCCCATGATGGAATATCTAATATGCTTTGCCCGGCTGCCTGGGCAGCAAAGACTTGAGACGTCTCTTCGCAGGTGAAGCCCATTTGTGAAGAAGTCAGTGTGAGCGTTCAGGCGGAGGGGGAGGGTTCAGGTCGAGTTCAGGGTGGACCATCCAATGAGAGTCCGAGATCCTAAAATCGTGTAGACTAGAGCAGTCCAGCCAGACCCAGACAAGATGCTCCAGGTTCAGTTTCATGAAAGTTGTGCCTTTACCTTGTTCTCAATTTGTTTGTTTAGTTGATATTTACCAGTACTTCCCGACACCCAGTTGAATTGAAGCGCTTGGACAGACACCAAGTATCAGGCCAAGGTACTCAGTGAACAGGCCAAGATACTCAGTGGATCCCAGTTACCACTTATATATGTTGGGTTTGTCCTATTAATGCCTGTAATGGTCGGTAAATGATTATCACTATTTTAGAGAAAGGTCTGTGCTTTTGATAGCTGACACCCTCTTAGAATTGGTGGAGGGTCTATGAATAAATATTCAACATCACGACCTTTTGCACCAACCAACTGATGTTAACTAATATATAGGTGGAATTGAGATGGCAAAATCCCCAAGTTTGGTGGTTTCCGACCCCATCTAACAGTCAGAGTCATCTTGGGGCGCCTGACAGTGCCATCGACCTCACCTCTAAAGCATTCTGAAACCTCTAAGTGGGTGGTGTTTAGTCCCTAAGTGAGTGGATCATGGACACCCCTATCCTCCAATAGGCACCCCTTTGTGACTGCTGGTATATATACCTTGCGGCATACCAAGCCTGCACGAATGGCTCCCAGGGTGGCTCCCGAACCAGCATGGACGATGCCACGAAGCGGTGCCGCGGCGGCACCGCGCCGGCGACCGTTGTAGGTGGAAGAGACCCACGTGGAACGTCATGGAACCGTTCCAAACCAGGTCCTCTATGTTTGAAGGAGGATCTCTATTTGATTTGGACCTGATGATATTCCCTAGGGCTCCAACCATATCCTCAGAAGGTGGTTAGACCCCCCAAACCCACCCCAACCACCTTCTCAGGAGCTAGTTGGAGCCCTAGGGATTATGTATTGAAGGACCTCTATAGGATTAAAGCAAAGTAGAGTAAAAGGACCTTCCAAAGGTACTTGTTGTTCAGGTTCCATGTTCGAAATTCAACACAGGGTGCACAAGGTGAATCCGAACCACTTGGCGCCCGTTGGGCATTCACGTTGTGTCACCTGGATCCTTTACCAACATGTAACATGTATAATGTACTAACAAAACCCACCCATGTCATGTGGATTGTAGACCTCTTCATATGATTTCATATGGATGGTGTCTATTGATCAAGAGTCTATATCAATTCCCGGTATGAACTATGGCAATCCGTGTGTATTTTGGTTCACTCAATCGTCTCCAGTTTTACCTCACCTTTAGTGGGAAGGACTGTGCGCCCAGAAACCTCCCATCGGTCACCCAAGAACCCATGTCACATGGAAAAGTGAATCTCCAAAATGTCTTGGACTTTTTACGGACATCAATTTGAAGACATCTTTATCTAGGGTTTTTAAAAATATATATATATATATGACATCTACATGTGAAGACCTCTATTTTTGAAGACCTCTATATATATATATGTATGACTAGGTATATATGATAGGTTCTTACCTTCAAATCTGCGGTGTTCCCATGTTTGAACTCAGCATCATGTTCACACCAGCGCAGCTTGCAGCCCGTCCCCACCCCCGGGTTGTAGGGTTGATTTTTTGGTTAGGACACTTTCATGTTGAACATGCAACTCCTAAGAACTGCTAATAGCAAAATAACTCAATATTATGTGGATATAACTATAACTGATGTAACTCAATACTACTTCAACACAGTCTTCAAGTTGTTGGATCATTTGAACGACAATGTGTCTTTTGTTCAGCTCATCTCAGAGAATTCCTTGCCACTGGTTTTTTCCATCTGGGCTCCTGTACATCTGAAACGAAGGTGGGAACCCTCCAAATCCACCCTTCCCATCCCCAAAACCGAACCTGTGTTTCAGGGATGTGGAGTCCAGGAGTGGAGCCGTGTTTCAACGGGCTCCTCTCAATCTCCGGGGGTCGGTCGGTCTCCGTGTGCCGAGGTATCTGTGCGATCGGACTGACTTGAAGAAGCAGAAGGCGATTTGCCGCGCGCGCGCGATAACGGGAGGGGTCCAAGGGGCCCAGGTGTTTGATGGGGTGCTGGAGTGGAACTGGAGTGGAACTGGAGTCTGGCGATTTTTAAAGAAGGTAGGTGGAAGATGGACGATCATGAATCATACCTGCTACCTCTTGCTTGTTTTTTATGTGTTAGAACCTTTATAGTTCACATGACCTGAGGACGATGGAAGTTCTTTGGACGGTCCGTTTTGGACCCTTCAGGGTCGGTTCAGGCTCTGGAAAAAAGGTCCGACACGCTCGCTCCAAATGACTTCATATTGTTTGGCTAAATGTGTTCTTTGACAAGTCAAATTTGAGGAACTTCTTGGAGCTCATTCTCTCGAGGTTTCATTTCGGAGGCGTCCGCCCATGCTCATTGGCCTATGACTGATGGGCAGAATGGTTTCAGGAAACCACCCGAACGCCGAACGCGAAAAGCGGCGTGATGGTTCTTGGGATCGGGTCATGGATGTGTCGCTGGTCCACCCAGACACGACGAATGGGACTGCCATATATGCCGCCTCATTGAGTCACATTGAGCCCCAAAACCATCCCAACTGATCGGCATATATATATATGGCATACATGGGGTGTTTGGGATATATTGGTGCACGGGTTATACAATCCCCTTCGAACTTCGAACCGGAGAGTATGTGTTTGTTTCTTTTTGTCACTGGTTCCTGATGCATCGATCAAGACAAATCATATCTCCTTCAGGAGAAATCTCACACCAAAAAATATCTACAGGAGGAGGCCGGCCAGTACTCCTACACCAAGAACGCCAAAGAGATTGAAGATACCAAGTTGGAGGACTCCAACCGACTCGCGGTGCGCGCAGCGCGTCTCACCGGGGTAGGAACGGAGCCGCCGAGGGAACGGAGGTGCAGCGGAGCTGCGCGGGTGTCGGTGCAAAAACGGACAGCTTGGCTCGGGCGAAGGTTTGGGAAGATCGACACCGAAGACTCCATGGAACGGCGTTGGGGTCTTTATTGTATGTTTTTGTTCCATAATTAATGTAGACTCGACTGAGGACCATAACCCCCCCCCGGGGGGGTTATGGTCCTCAAGAGTCTACATTGCATAATGACATGTGATATGTTTGAAACCTTGCAGTTCGCTATTGGGTGAAGAAGGGAAGTGGATTGAGCCCTGAAGTGACTTGTGTTTCCTCATGCCACCATTTTTTTGATTGGCCAGCCTCTTATACACATGTGTCATCATGTGTTTGAATGATTCTTTGAGGGAGTTCACATTTCCAAAATAGTGTGTCAGTCCGTTTCACACCTTACAATGTTGAAAACACTGAAGCTGCGCATCAGACGTGTATATATATATAAGAATATATCAGATGTCAGACTGACTGGGGTAAAATCCTCTTCAAGTCTCAACATCTAGTATATTATAGTATTATTAGTGTCTTCAAGTTGTTCAATATGTTGAAAGCTGGATAACAAGATATCTGAGGAGCCCCTGGGTAGATTCTGTGTCGGCACTGGCTTACAGCATAGGCATGACCACTTGCAACCGCCTCCCCTTGCCTAGAGCTGCTGCACGTTGTTTTTGCCCAGTTGTTTGTTCACGTATTCTTCGAAAGCATTGCCAAGCAAAAGCCGGTAGGGGTGTGACGTCGAGCATGGTTTGGCGCTACGATACGTATACACAACCATATTCTGCTATTCAGTCTTAAACTCATTGATTTCTTGCCCCGCACGGTTCCTAGGAGATGCGGAAGGAACGGCAGGCGGAGAAAGAAGCCAGGCTGAAGATGTTCAGACGGCCTCGAGATCAGATTGTGACCAAGTGAGCGTCACGATGCGAAGAAGAACGAGCCGCGGCAAGAGCCGCTGCAATCGCTTAAGACAAGCGAGGCCGAGTTTGGCAGAGCTCCAAGCATATGGTATGGACCAAGAATACTATCTCCATGTTTTCAGGGGCGGGTCCATGTCATTTCCAGATTCTGGTTGGTACATGCCGCCTATCTGAAGTGCCTGGGGCTCTATTCGGAGTTGCGAGGACCGGATCCTGTCGCACCCCACTGAAGAGGAACCTCAGCTGGTGCAGAGACCATTGCTGATGCACTGATGGCCTGCACACGGAAAGACCAGCCCAAACAAAAGACAGTTCAACTCCATGCAGTTCAATTATTGTAGCACTGTTTTTTGGTTACAGGGTGGGTGTAGCTTTCGCAGACAAATATATATATATATATACATATGGTATTAGTATATTTCAAAAATCTTATACTATAATGTCTATGTTTAATCAAGACAACCCATATTTGGTTCGACTGCTTTTTGAATTGCTTGCAAGTTGTTTCTCTTTTCCCTTTGCTCCAATTTCAAGAATTTATCATAGTTCAAGACCATCAGATCATTGGCGTCATCGAAACACGTGGTCGGCTCCGCTCTGGCCGATCTGGTTTGTCAAACCGCTGGTCGTTCCGCTCCGAGGCTCGTCGACCACGCTCCGAGCGTCCCAATTTTCAAAACCCCGCAGTGACAAGCAACGACTGAAAAGGCGTCGACGGACCGGGCAACGTTTGGAAGAAGTGTGGCAGTTTGGACCAACGAGGTAAGGCAAGGGACTAGAGTTGAAAGAAGAAGTCATGGACCTTGCAACAGTTTGTGACACGAGATATGATGTCCTATGATACCAAATGAAAAACTAAATACTGCATGCTTTCAGAGCTGGCTTGACTGCCTTGATGTGTGTTTGTACTTCTTTCACACTTCTTTCACACTTCTTTCACCACGGTAGCTTGACCGCCTCCCCCAATGCTCCAAATGGCATCGCCACGTGAGCCCAGTGTGTGGGCTGGGCTTGAACGAAGCGGCATGAATTGATAGGGATCCAGTGATCCACATCCCTTTTCAGAAGGTATGTGGATCGCTAGGATATGGTAATGACTTCGTGCAAAGATCGCACACGGTTCATATGCCAAAGGCCTTTTCTGCGGTTCTTGCTCACCAAATGGTCACCACTGTGTGCAGCACGCTGCAGATCAAACCGAACAGTTGGAGAAGAAAAGGTGCAAACCAAACAGTTGGAGTCAGATGATGATTAATGTGTTTTTTCATTTGTGCAGATCACGTGTATCCACGTTCAAAGTTCAAAAGACTCGTAGTCAAATGCGTATGGTTCATCGTGGCAGTCACCATACAAACACCCATACCCAACATCCTGGTAACTATACCGACCCATGAAAGATCTTCCAGATTATGTTGTTCATTGTTTTTGCGATACCAGTTTGACCTCCTGCAGTGAGTAGATGCCTTCAATGCGCTGGCGGCATGCGCAAGCTGACTGTGACGATGCCTCCTCGAGGTTCCCTGGTGCAAACTCTTGCTGGGAGTTCTTCGACTTCTATGCCACCTAGTGCAAATCTGCTTGACTCACCTACATGGAGCTTTCCAATGTATGTGATCCATGCTTTTTCAAGCTGCGTTTGACATCGTTTGACACGCACAGTTGCTTTTGGCTGCCAGGTGACCCAAGCCATGTAGTGGCGGGGAAGGCCTTCGGGAAGGGCAGGGGGTTGGGGGTGACGTGAAGGTATTGAACATTAAGATGTGCATTACCTGGGGATCTACATACCTCCTGGCAAAGTGTTTGTGTTTGGGGTGGGCTTGAGACATCAGTGACATCAATGTATTTTTTGCTGAGGATGGTGTTGGATCAGGCATCATATGTACTTGCTGGGCCACTGTTTTTTTTCTGAAGTCTCCTGCCCTTGACAGACGACTGTGTCATTCAATTGCCGGGTTTCTTTCATGTAGATTCAATGTAGATGATAAATGTAAGAATCCCTACTTGCTCCTGTCCTCGTCCGCTTCCCACTGCTTTTTGTTGTGCGACATCCAATCTATGGGCACAGCTGGATCTGACTGGAGAGACCTCAGAAGAGGAGCATCCAGCCGTAGACTCGGTTGGAAGAAAGTGGTGTATCCATTGGTAGCTGGAACTCCCGAAATCTGCCATGCTTGCAAGGTCAGCCAAATCTGCCATGTTGAGCATTTTAGGTGAACACTGCAAAGAATGCCTGAGCTGCCTGAGCCTCTATCCACCGTCTCCTTGTCCGACAGGGGCCGGAACCACTGTACTATGACAGGTACCTGACAAGGCCCTTGTCCCGTGGAGGGGAGTGTGGGAAAGGGGAAAGAGAAATCAACAGGATGGATACCGCATGGCCGCATAGTGAGTGTTGTTGTTAAAGAACATGTCGAGAAGGACTTAAAGCACATCAGACCACCTTTGACAACAACTTCAAGTGTGCCCAACAAGCATCAACAAGCTATATATATATATAGAAATGCCATGAAACAACACAACAAGCCACTAACAAAAGGACACTAACAAGCCATGTCAAAAAAAGGGACACTAACAAGCCATGAAGACATGCGACCGGGTCGTCTTTTTGCGAAAGCCACGCGCCGGGGCACCGAGGCCTCAAGAAGCCTCGGTGGCGCCTGGGTGCAAGGCAGGAAGTATACGCACAGGTGGGCGCCAGGGAATTCTCGCGTAAAACCCGAATCGAAGGTTGAAAAGGGAAAATGCCCAGAATCAACGGGTTGGATCATTATGCCCCTTGTTGATAGTGGTTGCAGTTATTTTTTTGCAATACATTGGATTGAAAGAGGTTGGGAGTTTATTTGAACAAAATGGGTACCATGCTTTTGCTTGAATCAGCTTTCCACTGGACCTTTGGAGTCATGGCACCGTTGGTCCGTTCGGCGACGCTGTGAGAAGCTGATGGGTTTTCCGCAGTTTGACCAGACGTGGGTGCAGTCCATCACGCAGTACCCATGTGGGTGGGTACAGTAATCTGGAGATGAACAGCAATGGTTGAATGAACTGGTTTTGGGCTCCCTTCTCCGCAGCAAGGCTTTGCTGCGCTATCCTGCAGCCCTTGCATTACACAGTGACAAGACAGCTTCCCAGCAGGAGTGACTTATTTATTATGATCGCTGCCTCGCAGCATTTCCTGCTTGAAGCCGGGGCGAATAAAATCCCCATGAGCATAGACGTCAGAAGTACAGCACACAGCAACAGCTGCAGCAAAGTCTTGATGGCCAGGAGTCACAAAGGGGTGGTGTTTAGTCCCCAAGTGAGTGCATCAGGCACCCCTAACCTCCATGGATCGCACCCCTCTGTGACTGAGGGTGACTCTCATTTTCTTGGGAAAGTCGTCTCACTGTCTCACTCCATCGGGAAACGTTTCGTTCTTTCAACTCGGGCGCGCTTCAAAGTAGTACTTGTGGCACTGCATTTTTGGGGTTTTCGAACCCAAAGGTGTGTGAGAACGATCACCTGGTGGCACCGTTCGGACCCGACGCCACCCCAAGTCGTCATGGATCACCATCATCTCAGCTTTGTCAAGTTGCCCAATCGCTTGGCACAAGCGGTTGCCATCATGGAAGCCCAGGCTCACTGGGGAGATGGGTGTGCACATGTATCCTTCCTTAGTTATTTATTTAGTATTTCCGAGGTACTGGCTGTGCAGTTCCAACTTCTTTGGTCAGGCTACTATTATTGTTGTTTTGAATCTTGAAAGCCACTGCATGAAAGACTAAGAGCAACTTGTAGCCGACTTGGGCACTTTGTCCGCAGACCTGTTGGAGAAGCCAAGCTTTCTGGTTGGGCATGCCCTCCTCTTTATGCGACACCTCCAATTGGTCCAATTTGTTTAAATTGCCACAGTGTGGAATCGCCTAGAACTTAGAGGATTCCGAAGCTTGTCATTTGATCAGAACATAGCACAAATCAGGGTTGTCATTTGCTGGGTCCCGATTCACGTGGTCGCGGGTGAAAGTACCCACAAATCTTGGAGAGGTCACCTGGTCACTTGCGTTAACAGTGTGACCGCCCGCCAGCCAGACTCCCTGTCGAATGAGGAAGCATCGACCAGCCATTTTTTGTGGGGTTTTGCTATTCCAGCTATAGACACTATACACCTATTAGACACCTATAATCGTTTATCTCTATCTATTTATGAGGCTTACGCCTGACAGCCGGGCGCCGGCCAATTTGGGTTAGAGTCCGCGCACTGGATCCTCTCTCCCTCTCCCTCTCCCTCTCTCTCTCTCTCTCGCTGTCGGTCTCTGCCCCTGTCTCTGTCCCTGTCTCTGTCTCTGTCTCTTTCTCTGTCAGTCTCTGTCTCTGTCTTCTCTGTCTCTCTCGGTCTTCTCTGTCTCCGTCTTCGCTGTCTTTGCCTCTCTCTCTCTCTCCCTCTCTCTCGCTTTCGCTTTCCCTCTCCCTCTCTCTCACTCTCTCTCTTTCCCTCTCCTATTGAGCAAAGTTAAGCTATCTGGTGCGCATCTTGGCCCTAGGTTGGGCCAAGTTGAGCCCATGTGGTCTGTGTTGGGCGCATCTTGGGCCCATGTTGAGCCTATGTTGGGCCTAGGTCGGCCTATGTTAGGCCTATGTTGGCCTAGGTTGGGCCTATGTTGGGCCTATGTTGGCGTATGTTGGCCCCATGTTGGCCTATGTTGGCCCTATGTTGAGCCATCTTGGAGGCTATGTTGGACATATGTTGGGGATATGTTCGCTATCTTGGGCCTATGTTAGGGATATGTAAGGCAACTCATGTGCCCAACACCCACGAAATGTCGATTAAGCCTGTCCGCGCGGCACGCATAACTGACACCACGGGCACCCTGTTGTGGACGCCGAAGGCCACGAAACACTGTAAAAAACGATGTTTTTGAACCTTT